ATAAAAATTGATGGGACGTGTGGTTGAACAATTATAAATCACATGAAATTTGTGGTACCAAATGGGGGCTTAATCAAGTTGCAAGGACCATATCTAGACATATATATCCAACTCATTGACAATGGTTTTGTTTTATGTGGTTGGTTGTTGAAATTTATTATTTAAAATTCTTTGATTGGAATGGAAATTTTACGTGATTCGAGAAATGTTGTCATTTTATTGTGCAAGTTTNGGGGAAGAACGAGTTTTTAAATAGTAATTTTTTGGAAAATGTGTAGTTAAAAAGTAGAAATTTTTTTAGATTTACGTGAAAAATATTTTATCGTGAGAATATATGATTGAAAATGAATATGAAAAAAAAAAAAATTTAAAGAATGATTTACGAAACAAGACTTAATTCCAACCATTTATGTTGTGTAGGTGAGGGGCATACTTTTTTCTTTCTTTTTCACCCCTTTGGTTTCAAGAATCCGTACCAATTGTTTTCATTCTCTCAGTCTGTTGATTCCAATTCTTTCACTCTGTACAAACGTCGTACGTACCACAGGTCCAAGTTATTCCAACCACACTAAAAGCTAGCGCAACAATTAATATTGGTACTAATAATATTTTTCTTTTTCTTTTCTACTTTCTTTTTCATTAAAATTAAGCACGCTCTTCACCCTATGAAGCAAAAATAAGTGATCCACTAGCTCCCACGTTTGACATTATTATCATCCCTAGTTTAGCCTTCACACAACAATGCCCTTCGATGGAAGCATCGCCAACCGGTTAAACCCCTTGCTACTGATCGATGAAGGCAAAGCATTTCGAGAGCCGATGGGCGAAGGTGACCATAACATTAACTTAATTTCAAACGGATTCCTTCCCTATAAATACATGCATAGGTAAATGGAAAGGTAGGCATTATCTAAACTCTAGCCAAATTTCCATCTATTTTTCTCTCCCACAACCAATTCTCGTATAATTTGTATCAACGGTTGATTTGATGTCAGAATACCAATGCAGATCGCTAACCCCTTTCTTGGTCAGATGATCTTGGTGTCTAACAGTGTTTGTCCAAGTATATAGGTAGTTAGGAACATGGTAGGAGATATATCGTCAACAAAACTCTTAAAAAAAAAAATAGTTCAAGACAATTATTAATGAAAACGGAAAAATCAAATATTAATTAAATAAAATCTATGATATATCAATACTTGGAATAATTATTAATGGAAAAAGGGTAAATATTAATTAATTAAAAGCATGATATATATTAATACTTGGAATTAAGTCAATGAAGTGCTCGCGAGAAGCAAATATTTGAGCCATTCAAGCACAAGGGCTGCACGAACACAATTATCGACATATGAACTCCACCTTAGTTCACAACATTTCTATCCCCAAGCTAGTAATTATTCAGGTGATGCATTTGAATATGTTAATGAGAGATCAATTTGAATTTTGAGATTTTCGACTTGAATTTAATTGTTTTTGATGCTCTCCCATGATGAGTGAATTTGATTTGGGTACTCTTACAAGTGTATCACGTAACTAATGAAATTCCGAACTAGAATGAAGTAGTTTTGCTTTATCTTCTAGCACTTTTGTACTCCGATGGCAAAACATTCCGCCCCCGAACCCAAACCAGCCCGAGAAGAATGAAAAATAATTAATTACAAATATTTAATTTTGGACATTGTTTGTTTTGAGTGCTTGATTTGGATATTGATGTAGTTAGTTTGAGTATTATTTGCTTTGAATTTTAAAATTTTGAATTTGTATTTTAATTGAAAATTTTTGGAAAAAAAAGGCAGACCCACACCCGCCCCACCCAACCACGCCCCTTCTAAGTTAGGGTAGGGCGGGGGAGTGACGGGGTGGGGCAAGGGTGCCCTGCCCCGAATCCGCCTCGTTGCCATCTCTGCTCCCCACCTTTGAGCGAAGTAAATTCTATTTTTTCTCCCTTTGTTAATGGGTTAGACATCCTTCAAAGTTTTGGACTTTCCATTTCAACAAAATAAGCCATCGTGGTTTCAAGTAAAAAATAAAAATGTCAATAAAAGCTCCTACAAAATCAAAAGCACAAAATAATCTCAAAAGTTTTTTTTGTTTATTTTCTAAAATTAATTCAAATAGTATATTTACCGTTATACCCTCGGATAAGCAAAATTTCCCATAAAGAACATTTCAAACCGTAGCCCACCACCCCTATAATTCCTACTCATTGTGTTTCTTGCTTAAACCTTGCACTCACTTTTCCCTTATCGCTTCCCTCTCTCTTTCCTAAACAAATATCTGCCAGCTCCCATCAGATAGGAATTACAGGCTACCAGCTTAGAGAGAGACAGAGACAGATTGATATAGATACACATATATATGTCCCACAAGTGACTGAAGTGAGGGTCATTTACAGATAGATACGCCATACACTTACTGACCTAGCCCTTAAGAGTATATTACTTTATGATCATGGATCATGGTGGAAGTAATAATTCTATGCAAAGCCCAAATTTCCGACTCGATTTACTGAAGAAAAGAAATCTTGCAGAAGCTAATTCCAGCTCAATTTTACCTTCAAATTCAGGAAATTTGGAAGCACAAAAGAAGCCTCAGCCAAAAAGAAGCTCAACCAAGGATAGGCACACAAAGGTCGATGGCCGGGGTCGTCGGATCCGTATGCCTGCAACTTGTGCTGCTAGGGTTTTCCAGCTTACTAAAGAATTAGGCCACAAATCAGATGGTGAAACCGTCGAGTGGTTGCTCCAGCAGGCGGAGCCGGCGGTGATCGCCGCTACAGGTACTGGAACCATCCCGGCAAATTTCACTTCTCTTAACTTATCGGTTAGGAATTCTGGTTCAACCATGTCAGCACCGTTATATTCGAGGAATAATTATTTTAACCAGAGCTTGAAGAGTAGTATTGAAGATTCACATAGGAGGGTTTTGTTTTCTGGAGTTGGATTATCATCATCTGAGAATATTACTCCATTAAATTTTCCTAATGGTAATATGAATGTGAATTCTATGCTACAAGCAAAGCAAGAACCGGCAGTTCAAACTCACATGTTTCAGTCGAGTACCGGGTCGATTCCTGCGAGCCAGGACCAGATTCCGGCGACGACGTTTCTTATGGTGCCAAATCATAGTAGTCAAGTGATGAGCGGTGATTCTTTATGGACATTTCCAGGTATTGGGAACTCTAGTACTGTGTTTAATGGAAGTTCAATGCCTAGTAGTGGACAAAATTTTATGAATTATCCTACACCTTTGGCACTTTTACCAGGGCAACAATTGGGTATGGGAAATGGTGGTGGTGGTGGCAGTGGCGGTGGGACAGTGGTGGATGGACATTTAAGCAGGCTAGCAACACTCAATGGGTTTAGGCTGGGAGGTTCCGAGGCTCAGGCCACCGGCCATGGCGCAGAGGGCCATGATCAACACGTTACAACTAATAATCACTTATGAATGGGATTCACCAAGTGTATGATATATGCCCTTTTTCTTAATTTTCACTGATTTCTTAGATAGACTTGATTTATAAATTACATTGCTTGAATTTCTATTCGATCTTGTTACATTTTTATGTTAGTACTTTAGGGTTTTGTGAGAAATATATGAATAATGCTATTGGCTGCCATTCGCATAGTAATTATATGAAGAAAATAAAGACATTGATTATATGATTGCCTGTCATCTATGCTTCGGGTTCAAGGAACTAAGAAGACTGATTTGCATGTAAAAATGCACACTCAAAATTTACTTGCTAAATGAGCATTGATATTTTATAAGCTTAATTAATTTGTTAGGCATATGAGATAAAATTAATCAATTAATTAAATCGTTTTCGACATGGACCCTTCCGTCCGAAGCCTGATACCCCAAAACGCGCACGATAAAATGGCATAGTGAATCTTTTATCCGTTCTCATACTGTATTGAACTACCTCATTGAGATGTTAGAAATTGAAAAAACTCGAAACGCTCACTCTAGCTCCCCTCTCTAATTATGTGGTTTATTCCCAACATCTATATTTTTTCTTACGTGGAGTGCACTTAGAAGCTAAACAGTGCTCATTTTGACTTCTGATTCTACTCTTCTCTATTAATGCTAATATCTTAGTACAGGAATTAAGTATCCATAAAATTGACAAAAAGGTACACAGCAAATTGGCAATTTAGTATCCATATTATTTATCATTTTCAGGTGGCTCTCAGGAGCCTTATGTGCTGGCACATTGCCTAGAACTCCTATAAATTTACTCAG